TAAGCCACTTGATCCTTCTGGAGGATTAGTGTGTATGAGCCATAACCCCCTAGCCAGACACACTGAACGCTGTGCTGAGACCGCTGGCAGGCCGGGCTGCACCAGCCCAGGGCAGCCAAGGCCCAGAGGTGCCTGCGGAGGGTGCTGGCGGCAGGTGGCAGTTAAAGCAGATCAGTGCTGACCCCACGGAGGGCGCCCCCTCCCCGGGTGTGGCCAGGCTGCACTGTGAATTCGAGGCTGGGGGACACCCCCACACACACGGCAGGCACAGAGGACCCCAGATCCCTCTACCCAGCCCCCTGAGGGCCCAGTGATGGTCACCTGCGGGTGCCACACTCTGCAGAGCTCAGACTGGGCACAGGAGGGCGCCGAGGGGCCAGGCCCAGCCAAGCCTGAACCCCTCTCCGGCCCGCCTCACCCCGCTCATGGGGAGCCCCTGTCCCTGCAGAGCAGGGGAGGCCCTGGGACTGCTGGGAGGCCCTGGCTGTGCTCACCCTCTCTGGTTGGCCCCAGATTCAGAAACAGCACCCCAGCATCTGGGGGTCGGTGCTTGCTCCTTCAAGGATGCCTCCCCCACCCCTGCTCCAAGGGGGCCTCCAGATTATGGGAAAGTGTGCGGCTTTGCACAGGGCACCGCTGAACCAGGGTGGCGGCTGCTTGCTGGGCCAACAGCTCCGGGCGCCTCTGCGCTCGCCAGCCCTGGAGCGGCCGCCTCGCTTTCGCCTGGCCCCAGAGCCTGGTCTCTGCCCGGTGCCTGGAAACCAGCGAGTCCCCGAGCCCCCTCAGGGGGAAAGCAGCCTGGAGCAGGGTGCTCATGCCTCCCAGATGGGCGTCCAGGCCCAGGCCTGTTCTGACTCTGCACTCCCGGCTGTCCGGATCACCCTGGGGCGAGTGGCGATAGCCGCTCAGACCTCTGCATGCATGCCTGCTGCTCCTGTGCAGCACCGTCCCCAGGGCAGCGGCAGGGTTTTATGTGAAGTATGGACAGAGAGATGCGCCCACGTGGCAGCATGTGACAAAGGACTTGCCCGCCTGCGGCCTGAGGCTGGAGCCGGCGCCGGCCTCCTTCCCCTCCGCCCTGGACAGGCCAGGCCCCCGGGGCTCCCAGGACTGACCGGGAGATGAGCGCGCTCCCTGCCGGCTTCCGGATGCCTGTGGCCCTGAGCAGGGGCGGAGGGAGGGGAAGACGGAGCATGGGGATGGACGGTCAGGACGGTCAGCTTAGGGCTGTGATAGCACCGTGGGGGTGTGGCCAGTGGAACCTTAAACTGATGAGGACCGGGAACCCCAACCCAGGCCAACGAGAAGGCCCCAAGAGGAGCCGCCACCCATGTCAGGTGAAAAACAATCAGGAAAAATGTGTGGCCTGCCCTGGAGGGTCTGACACCTGCAGGGACAGGACCTGCAGTCCATCTGTGACCACAGGATGCAGGCGCCCCAGGGCGCCCTAGGGGTGGAGTCCAGCGTGTCACAGGGATCAAGAAGAAAGACCAGGCCAGGGTGCAGCCAGCTTTCCCCAAAGGGGAGGGCTTGAGGCGCGAATCCCCACACTGCCAGGGGACCTGCAGGGGTGGATGTTGCCGAGCAGAGCCACTGTCTTGCAGGCGGCCAGACCGCGGCCCAGCTCCCGTCTACGTGTGAGGGGAGGGGCGGCCAGGGGCTGGGGGAGCGTGGGCTGCCTTCCGCTGCTCGGAGGGCTCGGTGCCTCAGGGAGGGAGAGTGGGGGCTCTCAGGGGCTGCGCTTTTCTGTAAATGGCTCCCAAGGACCGTGTGGCCACTGCTCTGCCGTACCAAGGCCAGGAGCGCCGCCTGGAGCCCAAGCCCAGGGTCCAGGTTCCGCAGGACCTCAGCCCCCAGCAACCTGGGCAGAGGAGTCCGGTGCAAAGGGAGCCGGAAGGGGAAGGGGAACGTCACCTACAGGAGGGTGGCGTATAAGGGGGTCCAGATGGCCCCCGGCAGCCTCTCCTCCAACCAGACCCCATGGGGTCAAGTAGGTGGCAGTGCACGCTCGGCCACACTGCTAGATTTGGGGGGTGCAGAGGGGGAACTGGACTCTCACCCTGCCAGCTGCCCTGTCCCACTGCAGGTGACCCAAAGGGACAGGCTGGGGACAGAGCACACTCAGCCTCCAGACAAGCCGGGCGGCCGGGGAAGGGGCGTCACGCCAGCTTCTCCCCACCTCCTTCCACTTTTCAAAATTGAGGGAAAGTGGGTCTTTCAATTCAGTTTTGGGCAGGAGGGGAGAAAGGGGCACCCAGGAGGGGAGAAAAGGGGCAGTGAAAGGGGCCCCCAACACTTCAGTGAAGTTTGTGACTCTGTCCAGGCTTGGGCAGGGCAGGCATGGAGGCCCAGTTTGGAGTCTGGAGGTGGGAAGGACCAGCCAAGGGGGCGCAAGGAGAAATCAGCCCCCAGAGAAGCTGCCCGGAGGTGTGCCCATGCGGAGGACCTGCCCTTCCCGGCATTTTTGGAATGAGGACTTGTAACAGGTACAGGTTTCACGGATTCCGCCCCCACTCGATGCTGGAACTCCAAATCCCATCAGTACCAAGGAGAAGCACGC